ATTCGACCAGTGTTTTTATTGCTCAAAAAAGAATCATCCGTTGCATGTTAAAAATCCCATACAGAGAGTCATGTAGACAATATTTTAAGGAATTAAACATTTTACCCCTTCCCTGTTTGTTTATATACGAATTATGTGTATTAATAAGAAAAGCATTGATATTAACAAAGATAAGTACAACTATAACACGAGATATGCTGGTGATCTTAGAGTGCCGTTTGCCAAACTAAAACTAGCCGTGAATGCTCCTTGTTGCTTGGGTTCAAAATGTTTTAATCATTTACCAAACGATGTTAAATACTGTTTGTCTGTAAATATTTTTAAACGAAAGTTAAAGCTATATTTGCTCGATAAATGTTTTTACAGTGTGTTGGAGTTTTTAAATTTTTAGATTGAAGTTTTTTATTTTTTTATGTTAGATTAAGTGTGTGACGAATCCTATATTATACTGTCTTATATACTGTCTGTATACTGTCTTAATGGAAAATAAATCATTCTTCTCCTTCTTCTCCTCCTCCTCCTCCTTCTTCTTCTTCTTCTTATGTATTATTTCCGTAATGTCCTGTAATTGAGTTTATTCCTGTTGGAATAATATACGTACTATACTACTACTTGCTGTGAAGCATCCTGTATGTTTACATAGTTTTAGAATATATTTATACATCATTAATATTTAATACTAATCAGTTTCAACAGAAACATTACTCAGTAGAGTAACTATCGTTTACGACTCATGAAAAATATTTCCACGCATATGTCAATTTAAATAATGGGTATATACATAATTATTCCACAATGAAATATGTGTAACTTGTATTTGCTACCTGTATTGGTGATATAACCACATAATTTGATTTGTAGAAACATATTTTCATTATTTATATTATGTGTTTTTCTTTATCAGACATTCTTTTTAACGATGTTTGTAAAACACTATCAAATTACTTTGCAACTGGAATGTATGCTGCATTTTCAAAATAGTTTCGATTTAAAAATCGTACCAAAAAATGCTTTTAGTGTTAAAAGATAATACAAAAGTTCATGTAACTAATGATAATTATATTTTGTTTTACATAGTTTTAATAATTGGATAGGACAAGAATCCCTGATAGTTGAAGAATGTATTGGAATTGTGAAGATTGTACCAATTTTTTTATTCACTTTGTAAACTTAAATGTACATTTCTCAGACGTTTCAATTAAAAATGATAATGACATATATGAAATAAATGTTTGCGCAATAACAACAAATCTTAACATATATTTAAATTTCAAATCAGATCATCATATAAACATAGACCAACTGCTAGTAATTTAATTAATATCACTCAGTAGGTACATATCTCTAACCTTACTTGACGGAAGTCAAGTGGGCGTTATATGCACTGAATTTCAAAAAACATTTGATTCCACAGGTATATCACATAATCTAATTTTATGTAAACTTAAAGATACATTTGGATTTCATGACAATTTTTTTTAAACTAAAACAGAAAACTATATGTGTTCATACATGGTTATACATCCATTTCATTCCATTGCTTTATTCTGTGACCTTCAGCTTCTGTTATTTCTAATTTACATTAACAGTCTAACAGAAATTGTTATTACATCATATAACATTTATCTTTTGCGGATGATTTCAAAATATATATTAAAATCCAGAATCAGTTAAAACAATATCAGTTCAAAATGACATAAATAAAATATATCAATGGACTTCAATTTGGTAAACAAAGACACTGAAAAAGTAATTTATTTTGCTGAATGGTCATGTGTTTCTAATTATTCTACAGGGTGGTCCGAATTTTATGCAGGAAACTTCGAGGGTAGATAGATCTCTTTAAAATAATATGTGTTTGCCTTATAAACATAGGTCTGTAACGGCCCCGTTTTAGAGATACAGGGTGTTGAGGTTTAAAAAAAATGGTTTTTTGTTTATTTCGCACACTACCTCACAGGTGGTGTAGAAAGGAGTGTAAATAATTTTGCTGATGTGCTTACAAATTGCACTTACTTTTAAACATAAACAAGTATTCTTGTAATATTATCGTTAGAAGTGTCTGCCACAAGGGGATTGTATTGGTATGAATAACTTGAGAACGGTGAATCTTCGGGAAAAAATTAAAGTTACCTTTTTTTAGGTATTTTGTGCATTAAATATAAATGAGTTACAATGACATGTAAAAAATGCAGTGTCGTTTTTTGACAACTTCAACACCCTGTATCTCTAAAACGGTGCCGTTCCAGACCTATGTTTATAAGACAAACATATATTATTTTAAAGAGATTTATCGGCCCTCGAAGTTTCCTGCATAAAATTCGGACCACCCTGTATAAATATTGAAAAATTGTTTGTTAAATAATCTCGACAATAAGGTAAGTAATAACATAATTGTATGATATCTTATACCGCTATGGTGTTTCCAGTTAAGGGCAATTTTTAAATATAATTATAAATATGCATTTGTTCGTCGATATACCAGAGAATTTATTATTAACTGCATATAAGATGCAGACTTCTGAATATATTAATTACATTACACGAACTATAATGTTTTAAAGAATTTTAAATGGTATTTACTAAAATATTGTTTATACCATAAATCGAATTATAACTAAAATACTTAAGGGCCCCATATTCTTTAAATAGTGTTTTCCGCAAAGACAAATAATTTCAAACATTTAATAACTGGATAATCTAAAGTTTATCAAATAATAGAAATGTTATGTCATGCCACCTAAGTATTTTCAAAGACGCCGCAGTAAAACGAATAAACAGGTGCAAAAAACTATCAAACCATCAAGGTTTTAGGTACTGAAATCTACGAAAATACTAACTTTTTTAGACATAACTCCACATGTAAATATTCTTATAACATTTACTTGCTTAGTGCTACATATAAAATTGTTTACTATTATTTATAAGTACGTGAAAATAATTCTTAAAATGTGAGGTTAGAATAACAGCAAACGCATGTTTTACAAACGCTATTTTTTAGTTATTATTTTATTTGAGTAAATTTAAATGGTAACAATGAATAAACAAAACATCAAGGATTTTATTTTTGTGCTTACTTTTGTTCTACACGTTTTACTTTTCAAGATTTCGGTACCTAAAAATGCCAGAAATTTCACCATTTCTCGGCCAGAGATATGGCCACCTTAAAATCTACCCATTTCACATTGTGTCGAGAATGAGTATTAAAAAAAAGCCATAATTATAAATTAATTAATAATTTTCTTCTAATTATGACTGGAAAATTTAAAATATAATATAATTATGAATTAGAAAAGATATATTTTTGTTTTATATCCGTATCCCTAAGTCATATAAAAATCTATGTAAAAGAATTTTGATTTTCTTTTAATTTTTTCATTTCAGAAATACAGGGTGATTCACAAACTGTGACCAAAAATGAAGCCTGGTATTCTCTGGTGAATTTTAAGAATAGTCTTTCGCATACTTTTTTTTCTTGGTCGCTTCTTTAAAAAGATACAGGGTGTTAAACTTAAAAAAATACTTTTATTTTTTTAAATAATTTGAAAAGTAGTAAGTAAGTGAAATAATTTGGAATTAGTCACATGTAATTATGTTCATTGTGCAAAATCTGAGGTTTTTTTCTAAAATTCTATCGGTGGCATATTTTTCTAAAAAAAATAGTACGCCACTGCCTTACGGTAACAATGATGATATTTTCGGATTCGTCTTTCAATTTTCTACAAATTACTACATCTTATGTTTTTCGAAAAAGGCTGATTTTCAAGTAAAACTTAAAAAACTAACAGAAAACACTTTTACTTAAATGATTTGATAAACACTACCTAATCATTCGGTTATTTAATCGAATAAAGAAATGAACAACATTAGTTATCATTTTAATGATTTTATTTGAGTAAATGCTCAAAAATACCACAAACAACGCGACGTTTTTTTAGTAACGAAAATGTAATTTATCGAAATTTACTGTTGCTTCAATCTGATGAAAAGCATTATTTATTCTTTCTTCTAACTGATCAGGTGCGTATTAATTTGTTCACTGTAGACCATCCGTTTAACAGCACCCCATAAAAGGAAATCCGTTGTCTTTTTTTTCGAAAAATATAAAAGGGTAGTAATTTGTAAAAAAATTGAAAGGCGAATCCGAAAATATACCAAATGTACGTATCATAAAACATTGGTGTAAGTACTATTTTATTTAGAAAAAATATACCACCGATATCCTGTACCTCCGCCACTGGAGCATCTAAATTTTAGAAAAAGGCATCAGATTTTGGACATAATTATATGTGCCCAATTTCAAATTATTTTACTTACTAGTTTTTAAATTATTTAAAAAAATTAAAAATATTCTTTTGAGTTTAACACCCTGTATCTTTTTAACGAAATGTCCTAGATAAAAATTTTATACGAAAGACTCACTTTAAAATTCACCAAAGAATACGAGGTTTTATTTTTGTTTACCGTTTGTGAATCACCCTGTATATAAGAGGTAGTCAAGTTTACAAAACATAAATTAGCTAGAAAAAGGATAATATTAAAATACAGAATCGAAACATTTATTTATTAAATATCGTTTCAACTTGGTCTTAAATTACAAAACAACTGTTTATAATTTAATTTTTTCAGGTAAACAGGACGTAACTGAAAAACATCTTTAATCCTTTTCATCAAGGTGGCCATGCAATCGTGAGATCCAAGCAACATATTTTTTATGTTAGCAGTTTGTCCCTCTTGAAATAGTTTAGTCTTATTTCTCTGCACCATCTGATATAAAGGTACCTACCTATTTTCAATTTTAAACAAACAATGGTACATTAAAGTTAATTTGTTTTTTGTAATACAGTTTCCCTGAATTCTGGAAAATTATTTAATTTGTTGCACACGTTCAGCAAATTGATTCCTCCAATTAAAAAAAAACCTGTGATGAATTGCTAAGAACATAGTAAATTATTTAAATATGTGGCTACGTAAATTCATTACATTCTGTATAAATACCCGAGTAACTTCATCAACAAAGTCAATTCCTAACAAGAAAGTTTCAACGCATCACCGTCAACAGATAAATAGGTAGGAAAGTTTATAAATAGTAACTAATACATTTTCATAATATATTACGTAATGGAGGCATAAAATATTGACTATTTCTTTTATTTTGTTTAATTTCTCTCTAAATTGTTCCTCCATGATGTAATTGTTTTTCATCCTGATTTTATTAAAAAATATCTTAAATAAGATAATAATATGGAGCTGTCTCGATTGTATTGTGTTTTAATACGTGATTTCTCAGTTTAGGTCCGTCAATCTTCAGGTCAAGATTTACATAATGCAGTTCACCACGATATTTTTCATTGTACTCGTTGCATTTGCCTGCTTGCAACAGGCTGTGATGGCTTGCTCAGGTACTGGCACGCCCTGTCAACCCGATGGCAGTACCAACTGTTGTTCAGGATTTTGCTACAAACAAGTAGGGTGGGCACGGGGATACTGCAAACCCCGGTAAACTATTGAACTACATAAATTTTTATAAGTGATACCGTAGAAAATAAAGAATCATAGTTAAAAATTGTCTTTTCTTTACCATTTTTCATTATATCGTGAAATATCATAAAACTACTGAGAAAATACGAATTTTGATTCAAAGTCAAAGTTTACTTGTAACCTCACCGGGATTTATGAAATGAAATTTTAATCGATTTAAATATGAGTCACAGAATAATAATGTCTAATATTTTTGCAAAATTTCTTTTCGCGACACGAAAATCCCATGTTCCAATCAAATTCTAATTTCTTTAATTTAACAAAATTGGTGTTCCTGTGGAACTCTGACTTTTTAATTTTTTTTAAGAATTCGTAATAAACTACAGAAATTACAGACACACTTTCAGCCTCTTCAAATACCTACTTTCGAATATATTTATGTAGATTTTCGGCACTTATTATGAAAAATTATCCTTGGAATTTTTTGTGAACATTTTTAATTAAAAATAAGTAGAGATCCTAGTTCGACACTTTTAGATTCATGTTTAAGAGTTTAGCAGGTTTAGCTTGTTTAAATAAATATTTCTTTAATGGATGGAAGGGGGCATATATTTTTTCTACCAAAATTTTCTGCGTTGTCATATTATTACTTCCATATTGTTTGTTGTTTCAATTTCAGTACTTTAAATATGATGTTTTCGAACTGTCCAATTACTGTCAGTGACTGTCATAGAGTGAGTGTTTTGTATAAGTACATACAACAATAAATAAACTACAATACAACAAAATTATATCTTCTATAAATGCCTCTTACACTTCAGCTGCAGCGAAATCATACAAGTCGATTTATTCAAGAATGTTTTTGATTGTCCTTGGCAAAATTGTTATTATTCATTTTCAAATATGTCGAGTAAAGTTCAAAAACGTTTCCTGTTTAGAGGATTATAAAATCCAATCTAGACAAATGATTGGCTGGTACACGAATTTTCCTTTAATATAATAAATATGTATTAAACTGACAGTGATACCAGAGGATAACAAACGACCCTTCATCCAAAACTGAAGTCAACGCTAATAGATATTTTAGAAAGACCATCAGTTCTAATTCCTAGTACCTAGTTATACTTATTTATAAAAACATGCATATTACATTGTAAAAAAAATCGGCGTGAAATTATTGAGCACATCTTCACTCAATACTGTGCATATTGGTCACTTTACTCGTTTGTGACTAAATTTAAACTAAAACTGAGTACATTCACTCAAACATAGGTACTCCTTAAGTAAATTCTTCACGTAAATTCGTATTTGGTGCACTTGTACCTAAATCAGTGTAAATGTCCTTATTACTGAGTGATCCCACTCTTTTTCATATCCAGATGCATTTTCTTCAAATGCAGTGATTTAATTACAATAATTAAAAACAATATATTAAGACTCGATTAATATTTGGGTAAATAAACGAATAGTTAAATTATCTATAATTATATATTTCTAACGTACAATATAGGTTATGGCAATCTATTCGTCCGATCAGTTCACCAATTCCTTTAATCGAGACCTAAAATATTGTCTCTAAAACAGATCTGTGTATTTAAATTAAAATATTAGAGAAAAAGTCAACTCTAAATTGGTTTTATATATTCAGAATAGAGTCAAAAGTCACTCAATTGATAGTAGTAACTCAGATTTGAGTAAAACTCACTTATTTCTGATGCAATAGTTTCACTCAGTTGTACTCATACTAATAGAGTGAAAATTTCACTCAATCGGGTGTGGACAGAGATTGATGCATTACTGAGTGAAATTGAGTGAAATTTGAGTGAAATTTTCTGACAGTGACAGTGTATACAGAGTTATTCTTAAATTTTAAACATAACTAAAGTTTACTATGTAGACCATGTAATTAATAGATCTATTTCGTGAAAAAAGAAACAAACAAGTTTAAAATAAATATGTATAATATCAACAGAAAATTGGTTAAGAACCTTTGACACCTCTCTTTGGCATTTACACCTACACAATTCAATCTCTTCTGAATGGGAGATCAACTATCCAATGTTGCCGGTATTACATAGAATTCTTAAATTCCAACTTCTTACATGAAATAAAAAAGTTAAGTGAATGAGAAATAATCACAGAAATTTTGAAATATAAATGCTTATATCCTCTTACTATTACCATCCAACAATGGTATCGACTGTTTACACAATTTTGGAGACAAGCGTTACGGTTTGCAGTAAACAAATCAGTATTCTGTATCACTGGGAAAGTGTTTTAATTTATTCTAAGCACATTTGTCTAAAATCAAAATGCAAGTTTACAATCCATTTGCTGTAGTTAGAATTCAAGCGGAAACAGTAAGTTGTTGGGTTTTTTTGTATACCTTAGAATTGGAAGGTTGACAGGTTATTAGGTATCCCATTTTTTCAACAATTAGGTAGGCATGCATGTTAAATTGAGTAATTAACAAATTTACCATTTAAATTCTATAATTTTAAATTTTGTGGTAATGTTTCACTTGCCAAAATTATTTTTCTAAAACGAGTAGTTTAGGCATTTTACATTAATTTTAGTTAAAAATTGGATTAAGATTATTGAATAATTCTATTTTAATTCACTCTTAAAACCAGTTAGGTGCTATTTCCAGAACAGAATACATTAGCTAGATTTAACTTGCAAAATGAAAATAAAAGACTGAGTTCTTTTTCTGTGGAAAGTACTGTTAATTTAAGTAAAAACTGTGAAAAACATAAGGAGAATGGCCTGTTCTACCTTCTGTTCCCGATTATTTTATTCCGCAGTTTCTGAAAATTAATTAAAAAAAAAGTCTGTATGGTAACTGTGACCACTGCCATTTTGGACAACTACTACTACTACAGCAAAAGTAAATATCAAGATCTTGGGAAATTGTTTCACAGTATCTTATTTGATCTAGGTTTTCCTTCATCACTTCTGTAACTATTTAAATTTAATAATGTCGGCGGGCCAGTATATCCATTAATAGGTAATGTCGGAGATTTCAGATTTGCTGCAACTAAGAAAATCGTCAAGCAATCATGATTTTTGTACAATGAATGCCAATTTTTGATATGCAAATTACGTATTCATTTTTTATAACCTGTACGTATAGTTATACATAAATATGCTTCTAGTATTGAAGATAATGTTATATTACTATAAACTGTAAATATATTTTACATTAATTAGGATAATGTAACAGGAATTCCTGACAACATAATTATTTAACAATATAGACTACTTGAAATTGTACATATGTAATTTTTATTAATTGTTTTTCAAGTTAAAAATTAAAAAAAAAATATAAATATGTATTCATTTCCAGATTACATAATTTATTTGTATTAACTACTTATTAGAAATGACATTTTTCAATACGTATTACAGAAAAATAAACTACAACTTAAACATAGAATATAATTGTAAAATATGTTATTCATATATTTTTTTAATATTTTGCATGAACTGTTTGTTAGATATATTTAAAAAAATTTAATAATTATACTAGAATATTGGACAAGTAATATTTTAGGTGCATGAAATAATAAAATCAAAACTATTATACAGGGTGTCCCACCGGGAACTGCGTCGACCGATATCTATGAAAGTACTGCTCCGAAGCATTTGAAAATTTGGCAACATGGCAATGTTCCTAAGGCGGACACAACTAAAATATCTAGAACTCTCCAGCACTTCCGGTTATACTGGAAGTCGACACCAACTTCGTTATTTTAAATGGTACACTCTATATATTATTGCATTTTCGGATTCTACGTGAAATTTGAAGGTCACTTTATTAAATATTCCCTATATCTAGGAGTTAGATAGATTTTGAGACATTAATTTTTAAAGAAAAAATTTCACAGATGCAAAGATTCGCGGCGTCGATAGTAAGACCCAGGATTCTTTACGGCGCTGTGGTATGGTGGCAGAAAACACAACAGACCACAGCTAGGGAAAAACTGAATAGAATTCAGAGATTGGCCTGTTTAGGTATAACGGGGGCGATGGCATCGACCCCGACAGCTGCACTTGAAGTCATGCTAAATCTGCCACCGCTGCATATTGGTGGAAAGAGAAGCGCGGCTAGCAGCATATCGACTCAGGAATAACAATGACTGGAGGGGTGATTCCCACTCCAGGATCATAGACACATCTATGTCGGAACCAACTCTTGGGATGGTATCCGACAAGATGGTCCCAAGATTTCATTTCCACAAGCCATTTGAGACTCGAATAGAGGATCAATGCAAGTGGGAGGAAAGGTTTAATACCCTGGAAAGGTGGAGCCTAGTATTTACAGATGGCTCCAAAATGACCAGAGGGACGGGTGCAGGAATATATGGACTCAGACCCAGATGGAGTGCAAGCTACAGTCTGGGGGAGTTCCCTACTGTATTCCAAGCAGAAATCTTCGCGATAATGGCGTGTCTGGCAGAGAATGTACGTAGAGGTTATAGACGTAAACTCATATATATATTCTCTGATAGTCAAGCTGCAATTAAAGCTTTAGCCGCACACAAGGTAAGTTCAAAACTGGTGTGGGACTGTTTACAAATGCTGACTGAACTGGCCACCAACAATACAGTCAGACTGTGTTGGGTGCCAGGGCACAAAGGCATTTGTGGAAATGAGAAAGCGGATGAACTTGCTAGGAAGGGATCCGAGACAGTGTTCATTGGCCCGGAGCCCTTCTGTGGCACATCTCCCAGTGTGGTCAGGCGGGCTCTGGGCAAATGGACAGAGACAGAACATAGGAAATACTGGACTTCAAGGCCAGGACATAGCCATTCTAAGGAGCTTATGGAGTATCCTTCGAAGGGAAGAGCGAATGAGCTACTGAGCTTGAATAGAATCCGGCTCAGAAGAGTGACAGGACTCATAACGGGATACTGTCACTTTAGGAAACATCTACATAAGCTAAAGCTTGTAGACAGTCCAGTCTGCCGAGGATGTGAATCGGCGGATGAAACTTCTCTGCATATCCTGGGCGAGTGCCCGGGATTTGCACGTAGCAGAATGACGCTTCTTGGGATACCCTATTTGGAACCCAAGGAATTGAGAGAAGTGTCAGCAAGGAAGCTTTTGGACTTTGTAAAAAGGACAAATCTACTTGCTGAATAGGACTAGTAGTGGGACGCACAATAGGCCTAATTAGGCCGCAGTGCTATGGGACTTTTTAAAGGACCAGCCACTAGATGAAGATGAAGATGAAGGGTTCGCGGAGATGCTAGTAATTCTTTTCGGGAACGTGATATCAAGCAGATTTTTTGGTACCTGTAAAGGGCATAGGTAACGCTAAATTATGGTATACCAACAAATTAAAATATTTAATACTAGGTGTTTCATTTTTGTTGTTACATTCTGATAACTTCAAACAGCTATAACTTTGTTAACATAAATGGAACGCCCCGTATTTTTTTACTCTGTCGTATGCAGATTGAAATTTCCTTTCAAGTCATATAAGCATTGTTAGATTTGCCGTTACTACTTTTGGAGATATTTGTAATTTTTATTTTTTGGACACTTTTTTCGTATCAGATCTGTTGTCAAATTGGCCATGACCAGATCACTCCAAACTATCTTACAAAAAAGTATTTTAAAAAATGTTTTTAAAGAACAAAGGATCATTAAAATTAATAGAGGCAGTATGATTGGAAATATAATTTTCACTGAAAATTATGTAATTATCTGTACACGTAAATCAAATTCTTTCCGCCAATTAAAAAAACCCTGTTATAAATTGCCAAGAATATAGTATAATGAATGATAATATGTGGCTACGTAAATTCATTACATTCTGTATAAATACCTAAGATACTTCATCTATAATCAAATCCTAACGAGAGAACCTCAGCGTCGCGTCTGATAAATAGGTAAGCAAATTTTATAATACCTACTACACATTTTGAAAATATTTAGATAGGCTCATAAAATATTCTCTAGGTTGGACGCCTTTGATCTCTCTTCAAATTGCTTTTTCATTCAGATGTGGTATAGAGCTATCTCCGCTGTACAAAAATCTAATACGAATACGACAAAGTAAAGCAATAAATTCATTTGGTGTATTACAAACCTTTTTCTACCTATGATTTGTTCAGTTTTGTTGTTTATTCCAAATGCAACAGAGAGAATAGAATTGTCATTTTATTTCGAAAAGATTAGGTTCATACAAATTATTTGCACTAGTAATGCCATTACTTTTTATATTCAAATCTGGGTATGGTAAAGAAGTAATTTTATAGAAAAGTTTTTCGTTAATATTCATTATTTACATAAACAAAAATAATCTGCCTAGATGACGGGGAAATTGTTAAATAATATCGGAAATTTTCAATGAAATATCTCTTTTCTGTTTCTAAGATTTTGTTCAAAGATCAACACGCATTTTACACATTTTTCATTAGTATTAGTAGTAATAGAAGTTTTCATTAGTTAGTTAGTTACCTACTTATTTTGATCTTAAAAATAATGACTGGGTTATACCTATAAATATAAAGCAATTTTTTTAGCATACCTATAAAATAAAATAAAAGTACAAGACCTAATAATATAAAATATACAAAAAATTTGTCTAATAACTGTATATCTTCTATGTATATCTTCTAATATAACTCTCAGTTTAGGTCCGTCCATCTTCAAGTCAAGATTTACATAATGAAGTTCATCACTATATTTTTCATCGTATTCATTGCAATTGCTTGCCTACAACAGACTGTGATGGCTTGTTATGGTACTGGCACGCCCTGTCAACCCGATGGCAGTACCAACTGCTGTTCAGGATTCTGCTACAAACAAGTAGGATGGGCACAGGGATACTGTAAACCCCGGTAAACTATTGCAGATATTTTTATATCTGGTACCACAGAAAATAAAAAAAATAATTAAAAATTGTGTTTCTCTTTACCAATTTTCCATACAAACTGAAATATCAAACTACTAAAAAAATATGAGTTTTGATTGAAGAGTCTTTGACTATTTGTAACTTCAGTGAGTGTTATTAACTAAAATTTAATCGATTTAAATGTGAAACGCAAAGCAATAATTGCTAATACATGTTTCCAGATACTGTAATACAGGGTGTTATTTAAGTATGAGGGGTGATTCTTTGATATAAACATAGGTCCCGTAATGCTTAGTTTTCCAACATCCCCTAGCCGATTTTGTTGAAATTTGTCAGTGTTGTTTATGGTAGAAAGGGGCTAATTTAGCCCTAACTAAATTAAAATTATCAAATCTAGTAGCGTCCCGGAGGGCACCTTAACCAATATTTTTGACAAAAAAAATGTACGTCACTGACTTTTAAAAACTTTTTTTGCATTAAGCAACTAAAAATACAACTTTTTGTCTTTTGAATTTTTTTCGTATCTTGTTTCCATTTTAGAAAAAAAAAATAAAAATCACTCAAATGATTTGACCAATTTTTACTTTCCCTTTAAGTCGTTTTTTAGAAAACTGTAAATAATTTGGTTCATACACTAGGTGTCAAGTCGCATTAGTTTAATTTAAGGATTACAATTTGCTTAAACACGAAATGCATTGAAATTTGTATATGCAAATATCTCCATAACCAAGGGAGATATAGAAAACGAACAAGAGTAACTTTTTCATGAAATGAATTTGCGTAAGGCATAGGTATTTGATTCAATCGAGATATCTGCAGCTCCGAGATTTCCCAACCTTTCGCAGACACTTCGTCGGATAAACTATGTATGTTCTTGTAACTATGAACGCCAATAACAAATCTGGATATGCAAACTACGATTTTATTTCTCACTAATTCTATCTATAAAATTGTGGGTAGTCCCTCGTTCTAAATCGTTCTAAAGAACTACGTGGTAGTAAAATGAAAATATGTTCTCCTTTTCCTGGATTTGACACTCAGAATTAAATAATAGTTTGTTTCTTGCTTGTTTTGTTGTTTCATGGTTATAAAGTGGAGTGTATTACGTTTTACAATATTCTAAAATGATTTTGACATGTTATCAACAACAAAAACAAAAGTTCGTCACCCTGATTTGGGACGTATTTATAGTTGCATATCCTACAAGGGAACTTTAAGGAACTTACCACCTCCCTTTAAAGGTTCTCTTTCAAAGAAATATGGTAGGTAATCTACACCAAAGAAAACACTAATTTCTACTAGCAAATAAACAGAGCTTCCCAATTGAATATTTTACTACACCTTGGTTAGTTACTTCCGTCGATGACTCTTCCCTTGGGCCAATGAAGTGGATGAGGGTTGTGCACCACAGAACCCACAACTGATGACAGATCTGTGTCAAACTACCATATAGTCCTCTGCTGAAGTGGACATTGGCATATACCAGATGTCATTGCCATTTTTCTCGAAAACATTACGTTTTACGAAAAAAGTATCTAACGGATTAATAATTTTTAAGAAATTCAACTATGCGACCAAATTTTTTGGCTTCAAAGACGAGGAGGCCCACGAATAAGTGTCTTAAGGGGGTGCCCCCAAAAAGGTGGCACTATCAGATTCCACATGCCATAAAACTTCTTTGTACCAAATTTAGTGATTCTCGTACAATAGGGGATATAAAAAAACTATTCTTAGGAGCGGATTTCAGAGGGCCACTTGGCAAAAATAAAAAATATGGATTTCTTAAATTTGTTGGGTTCTGGAACTGCAATCAATAGCTCTCTAATGACAAAATGGCCTGATGTTAACACTTCAGATTTTGATGGTGGGGAATTTAAAACAGCTTCAATATTCCTTAAAAATCTCATTGAATGACTTATTTTTTAATTTTCCGGATTGAGTTGAGTTGAGTCCTGGAATTGCAATTAATGGCTCTCCAATAATAAAATGACTTGGTGGTAAAAATGTAAATATTCTTCAAGTATTAAATTTATAATATTAAGTAGGTATTCGCTTTAATTATTGTTTAACATTTTTTACAGCGGCTTGTAGGTATGAAATGCCATCTATTTTTTGTTGACGCAAGTAGTTTTAAAATTTATGATTTTCCAATAATTTATTGGTCTCTATCAACACGATGTTGGCATCTGTAAGGTTTGTCGCGTTGTCTGAAAAAATATGACTACACAATCGAACACTATATTTACAAGAATTTTTGTTGATTCTATTCCAAATTGTTAATAATTTGCTGATTTGGTTTACCAAATCTCTGAACGAAACATCTATTTTGTATTTTTTTTTGAACTACCTGAAAGTATTTTAAAAATTGTTTTTAAAAAACAATGAACCATTAAATTTAATAGTAACTACTGCTGAATGTATTTAGAAATATAATTTTTACTGAATTCTGGAAAATTATGTAATTTGTTGTACACGTAAATTAAACTGATTCCGCCAATTAAAAAAACCCTGTTATAAATTGCTAAGAATATAGTATGATTGAATGATAATATGTGGCTACGTAAATTCATTACATTCTGTATAAATACCCACGACACTTCATCCACAATTAAATCTCAACGAGAGAATCTCAGCGTCACAACTGATAAATAGGAAAAATAGGTAAGTTTATAAATAGTATAGCTATTTTCTTCATTTACAACTTATTAAAAGAGTTGTTATTTGATAGAGCTGTCTCGACAAAACAATAAATTTATTTAGTGTACTTTTTTATATTTGCAATTCGCTTAGTTTTGTTGTTTTTCACAACTGTAATAGAGGTCACAAAGAGTTAATTCAAATTATTTGCACTTTTAATACTCTTTTATATCAAAATCTAGGCAAGTTAAAAAAATTTGTAAATAAGTTAATCGTTAATATTTATTATTTAAAATAAAAATTATTTGCATCAATAACGCTAACGAAAAAACAAATTCCTGATGACTATATTATTAAATAATGTCAAAAATTAAAAAAAAAATAAATATATCTTAGTCTTGCTTCTAACATTTCGAACAGAGATCAACACGCATTTCAAATATTTTTCATTAATAGTAGTTCTAGTAGTTTTCATTAATTAGTTAGTTACTTATATTGATATATTATTTTTACTTAAAATAGTTATTAATGACTGGATTATACCTATATGAAGTTATTTCTTTAGCATACTTATTTGGTACCAAAGATTTAATGAGAATTTTAGAAAAAATTGTAAATAATTTGAGTTCAGTTAATATCTTTAAAGTAAAATGAAAGTACAGGAGCTAATAATATAAAAAACGCTTCTTATAAGTACCTATATATTCTAATACATAAACTATTAGTTTAGGTCCGGCCATCTTCAGGTCAAGATTTACATAATGCAGTTCACCACGATATTTTTCATTGTACTCGTTGCATTTGCCTGCTTGCAACAGACTGTGATGGCTTGCTCAGGTACTGGCACGCCCTGTCAACCCGATGGCAGTACCAACTGCTGTTCAGGATTTTGCTACAAACAAGTAGGGTGGGCACAGGGATACTGCAAACCCCGGTAAACTATTGAACTACAGAAATTTTTATAAGTGATACAGTAGAAAATAAAGAATCATAGTAGAAAATTGTCTTTTCTTTACCATTTTTCATTATATCGTGAAATATCATAAAACTACTGAGAAAATACGAATTTTGATACAGAGTCGAATTTGTTTTTAAATAAATATTTCTTTAATGGATGGAAGGGGGCATATATTTTTTCTACCAAAATTTTCTGCGTTGTCATATTGTTACGTCCATATTGTTTGTTGTTTCAATTCCAGTACTTTAAATATGATGTTTTCGAACTGTCCAATTACTATCAGTGGTTGTCATAGAGTGAGTGTTTTGTATAAGTAAAACAATAAATAAATTACAATACAACAAAATTATATCTTCTATTAATGCCTCTTACATTTCAGCTGCAGCGAAATCATACAAGTCGATTTATTCAAGAATGTTTTTGGTTGTTCTTGGCAAAATTGTTATTATTCATTTTCAAATATGTCGAGTAAAGTTCAAAAACGTTTCCTGTTTAGAGGATTTTAAAATCCAATCTAGACAAATGATTGGCTGGTACACGAATTTTCCTTTAATATAATAAATATGTTTTAAACTGACAGTGATACCAGAGGATAACAAACGACCCTTCATCCAAAACTGAAGTCAGCGCTAATAGATATTTTAGAAAGACCATCAGTTCTAAGGTACTGGCACGCCCTGTCAACCCGATGGCAGCACCAACTGCTGTTCAGGATTCTGCTACAAACAAGTAGGGTGGGCACAGGGATACTGCAAACCCCGCTAAACTGTTGCAGATATTTTTATATATGATATAATAGAAAATAAACAATCCTTGTTAAAAATTTTTTTCTTTTTACATTTTTCCTTACAGCATGAAATATCATCAAACTACTTAGTAATATGACTTTAGATTGAGGAGTCAAATTTGACTATATATAATTTCTGGAACTATTATCAAATAAAATTGAATAAATTGAATATGAAACGCAGACCAATAATTACAAATACATATGTTTCCAGATACTGCAAACCTTAGATTATTGCACATATTTTTTAATCTATAGTAACCTGGGGGGTTATTTCTTTATTTAACCATCTACCGTTATGACCAGTATCATAACGATATTAACTTGCAAAAGAGAAAGACTTTTTACTTCTCGAAAGGGAGTTATAGGTACTTATTACTTACACTTTAATTGGTACGTGGGAACTTAGAAATGTTGTACGTTCAGAGAATGATTTTTAGACACTTACCGCACGTCGCACAGTGGGGCAGAATCCCAAAAAGCTGGCCAAAAGTCAAAATCTTTAAAAATCGATATGAAATTTGTTATTCGGGGGTTTTGGGGTTGCTGATAATGAATTTGGAGTCAGAATTACAAAATTCAATGTGGAGGATTTAATATAGCTATATCAGAAGTAGAAATATTTTGTAAATAGGGACTTTCCGAGTAGATTAAGAATTAAAATA